TAGGATTCGTGTTGCTCAGCGATAAAAAAATAATTAGACAGTGAAAAAATGCTCATCGTAATACCGGTGAATTAACAATTCACGAAAATGACTGCAGACATTTGTTGCGGTGTAGTCAAGGGATCTTCAATATTCTGTAGAACTGCTTTAAAAAACTTAAGCTCAAAAATTCAGTCATCTGTAGCCGTCTACCATAAAGTATGCCAGTAATCGCTTTAACTTTCACATTTTTGTTATTTTAAGAAATCCTAATTCAGTTTCGTAGCAAAAATCACCGCCAATGAAAGTTATACTGTTCTGGATTACTCTTCTTGCGTACAGAATCAGTGTTTCGGAGCGACGGAGTTCATTAATTCATTTCTACATAATTGGACGGAAACAGTCCCCGACTTCCGTTACATGTTCCCATCCACCATCCTTCATCCACTTCCTCAATGTCAGTGATGACGTCACCAGGGTCAAATGATATCTCATCCTCAGCAGCTAGAAATGAATTGTGGGAGTTAATGGCGGTGTCTTAAGTCCAGACGGTTTGCAGAATGGAAAATCTTGTAAGTTGCAGACAGCTTAGTGAGGAGAAAGACATTGAACAGAAGAGCACTGCACTAAGGTAACCATTTAAACGACCAAGAGTTCAGCTACTAACTTTAAATGCTATTCATGCCAAATTCTAATTAGCTTCAAATTTCGCTTTGCACAAGTTGCCGAAAAAGGTGAACATTTCACTGAGATTTAGGAATTGTGCATTTCAGAGCTTGGCAAAGTGCTCCCTTGTGTGGCGAGAAAAAGTAATAATATCTCAGATAGAAAAACTTACTTGCTTGATAATCGTACAGAGCTGTCGCATTCTTTCCTTCGCCTCCTTCGCTAACCTTCAACGAGTACAAAAAGAAATATTACGCTAATAGTGGATGTGGGAACAACGCGAGTTCTGTCACTCCTTAATTGTAACCGGCTGGGTGGTAATAGTACTGAAAACACTCGCAACTAACAATAGTCCCTTTTACGGCCGCATTCACTCGGGTATTATCAAACTACAGGTTCTCGTAACTTTGCGCTTTTCCGAAATTTGCACCAACTATGTGATCAATTCCTCTTCCATTGAGCCACCTTTGGCTGAACAGTGCAAACTGTAGGGGTAAACTATACTTTTAGCTGTGGTATCTATGTTTCCTTGTACCTCTCCCTGTGTTGTTTGCTGTTCTTGGGTAACTTCTTCGTAGAAATCTGTAGGTTCTGATTCATATCTTGGTTCCCCTGTCTCTTCATAGGTCGCTTCAGCTTCGGTTTCTTCATACTCTTGCTGTGCTTCAGCTTCTTGTTGTTGCCTGGCCGCTTCTTCCTCTCGCCAAGCTTCTTCCTCGGCCTGACGTTGGGCTTCCTCCTCCGCCTGACGACGGGCTTCCTCCTCTGCCTGACGACGGGCTTCCTCCTCTGCCTGACGACGGGCTTCTTCCTCAGCCTCCTCTTTGTCGCGTGCCTCTTGCTGAAAATGACAACATACATGTAACACGAATCATAATATTGTACACTCGCCGCATGAGAGCATTGCTCGACGGCCAGTTCTCTTTAGCACAGTTGGTAGCTACATGCCACAACCTCCGAGGAGTTACTGTAGAATCCTAATGGAGGACTACGATTACATTCGCCCTTTGTTGGTTTTCAAATCTACGATCAGATCTAAAGTCAGACTCATATAGTTAGCCACTTTGCCACATGTACCCAAAGTCGAAATAAAGCTTGGTTGATTACCTCTGCATGCCTTTTTTCGTTGATCTCTTTCTCTCTTTGTTCTCTCGCCTGTCGCCGAGCTCTCTCTTCTTCTGCTCGTCTCTTGTTTTCCTGTAATAGAAAAATTATTGGCATTTTGAGGAAACGGAAAATAATTCAAAGGAACTCAAAATGACAAAAAAACGTAACAGTTCTTTAGTACGGTTATCGTCAACAGACCTCCTCTTGCTCTCGGGCTAAGTTCTCAAACTTTGATTTCAAGTTGCCTGCTGCTCCAGACCCTGTCGAATGCAAATATTGAATCATATATCGAAACAAAAACAAACAAAAAAAACAAACGGGCCCATAATTGGGACAGTGGTCATATCTTTTCTGCTCCAGCTTTATCGCGATTGCGGTTTTCCCCATTCATATATTTTCTGAACAGGATGGAGTTTATTTGAACGAATACTTTTTCAGTAGGACGGAAGAATTCTCTCTGGCTTTGGCTTTCACAAAGAAATAAAATTGGATAATCTGAAAGCTTTAAGAGTCAACCATCGCCATGATTATTCTTGAAAGGGGGAAGAGTAAAAACCACTAAAACATATTTTTTGCCATGGCTGTTCCCTTCCCCTCCCCCCCCCAAAAAAAAAAAATAAATAAATGTTTGGATAAACAACGATACAGCAAAAATTCTTCGTGTTTTTAGTTCATGTCTCCATTCCCCAAAAAGAAGAGGGGCGGTTCTTATATGGCTAATGTATTTCCCATAATGTAAGGGGACCTTGTCAGGGGCTTTACTCTGTGGACAAGTGGGTGCCACTAAACCTGGGTGAATTATTTTGGACTTGAGTAGGGAGTTAAAGTTCACACACCTGAATTGATCGTATTTTTGAAAATCAAAGTATGCTTAGCTAGTTTAAAGTTTCTAAGACAAAGCCTTGTAAACAGAATCAACCTGCACGTGGTTTTGCTGTCTGGTAAGTTGATTTTACTTCTTGCATTTCATCAAAACCTCCAGCAGACTGAAGAGTAAAGATATAAATTAGCACAGGTCACTTGCAAAAAGTTTTGCTTATCTGTAAGATCGCGTTACTCCTCTGAAAAACTTCAAACTAACTTCTGTGTTTAGGGATGGAGCGAGACAGTTTCAAACAGTAAAGCTGAGCTAGGATGTTGGAAATATTCAAGGAAAACGAACGTATCAGTATTCATTGATCACACTTACTGCATCTTGTCTATCAGTCTGGACACCAAATTTACCACCGAAACCTTTAGAGTGATCTGAAGTACAGTGGAAGGGAAATTAGCTGTGTTCATGGAAAACAAAGTAGTTAAACTTCCCTTCGTTCACCACTTGTGGGCATACAAATACAAAGCTGTTGCAAAGAGGTGACCATCTAAAGAAGTTTTAATACCAGGGAGGATTGTTTTAGTTAGTGTAAAGACAAAGTCTCAGGTGACCCATGGGGGAGAACTTCACGTGTAGCGGCACTAAGGTACAAATGCATTCACCTTTTCAATCCCCGGGGTGACTAAAAGTAATTCCTCCAAACAATCGGTAGATTTTCAAGCAGAAAGGTGACGAAGAGTACTAAAATAACCACTGGGAACAACATTTAATTTCACACCAAATTCTCAGGTCTAGAGTAACACGACATGCATGGCAGACAAGATGGGAAGTAAATATTTAGATCTTGAGTGTCAAGGGGTTATTAAGCAACACGTAGTTGTTGTGCCGAACTTCGACCTAAATAGTCTGCTCATATGATTTGCTTATTAGAGCACTTTATGACAGAGTGTCGTAAAACCATACTCAAAGTAATCACAATGGCCAGTCAGAAGAGAGTAAAATATCTTTAAGAGGCAATGCGAGCTCAAAGTAAGAACAACCAAACAACCTAAAGCGTGGGAAAGTGCGGCCGACCAAGTCGTGATTGGTTTTAGTTTTACATCTGATTGGTTAAGAGAGTAGCATGGGGTTTCTAGACTGATCACAGAGCGAAGAGCGAAGATACTTTATTGAAAATTGCTCTATTTATTCTTGACTTGAAAACACTTCTACATGTACGTAATGCCTCATAAAGGCAGAAGCAAGACTATGACTAACCTTTCTGAGAGGCATGTTCCTCAGTTTTGCCTTGGTATTCAAAGCCCATAGCAGACTGAGGAAATAAAATAAACATGTAAGGTACTAAATCTGGTGTAAATTAAAGTGGATTTTCATTCTAAAAGAAAAATGTTTAGTAAATTGACCTTGTCAACTCTGTCTGTTTGTACTCCATATTTTCCTCCAAAGCCTTTTGAATGATCTGAAAAAAAAAAAAATAGTGATTAGACACACTGCTTCCTACAAGCTAGTCACAAATTGCCATCAAAGTTGCATCACTGATTAAGAGCCATTTTTAAAGGTACATGTGTACATGTGTATGTTGAGAATTGTTTTGCAACAAAGAAGAATTCACCTCTGTCAAGAGAAAATACCTTTGATAAGGTGAAAGCCCTTAAAGGTGAGATTTTAAAAAAAATTAAAACACACCTTTTTGTGAAGCATGTTCTTCTGTCTTTCCTTGGTATTCAAAGCCAACAGCTGCCTGAGGAGAGATTAAAAGAACAAAAAATTGTCATCATAAAAAATGTTATATTAATTTTTTGCATCATGCTTAAGTTTCAAATAGCACCTAAAAGTCCATGAAGAACTCAAATCTAAAAGTACTAAATAAACAGAAGTTATCTGAGTCATAGGGACACAGGTGTCAGATCATTTGAGAAGAAAAAATATCTTCAATTACACCATATTCATTAGGTTTATCAAGTGACCATTCTACATTAGTTTTAACAGTGTTAAATCAGACAATAAGGCAATGTCTAAAATTATCAAATTTGTGCTCTTGATTTTTTGACAATCTTACTATACCAATGAAGGCTTAGAATATTGTTAGGGAATGCTAGGGAAAATGATGCATATGTCGTCTCACAAAGACTAAATCAAGATATTTAAGAGTCCTTTTTCGTCTTGTTGCAAAAGTTGGTATGAAGCCATACAAAATTTTATACCACTTACTTTCTCAAAGCTAAACAATTAGAAACACAAGAAAAATGGGCGCAATTTTAACATGATCAAGGCAATTGCCAGTTAAAATATAAATTAAATCACTTATAATTAAATGGAAACAAAAACACTTTTAGAAACATGTTTTCCTTTTTTATCAAGCTACATTTGATTTCGTGACAATCAAAAGATTACAAACACAATGACAATTAGAATGAACTTCCACTTCATGAAGTCATTTTGTTAAATCAGTTTTAATAGGCAATATCAATTCCTGTACAAGTTACAATCACATCTAAAAACTAAAAGAAAATATGATTTGATTGGAAGGTGTGAAGAGAAAAAACTCAGAGGCTGTTCCTTGCTCCTCCAGCTGGTTCATTCAGCTTCAGGCTGTTTGGGGATAAAACAAATTTTATATCAATAAAACTCTAAATTTAAAGTACTTAGTTATATACCAACATGTACCTAAGTATGTTTGTCTAACTAACTAAAGTGTAACAACCTATTTCTAAGTCTGTTTTCCTATTTATCTATCTATGGTATCATTATTCCATTTTTCAATATTTTAAGGAAATGCAACAGAAATTATTTGTTTTTTTGAGTAGATGGTGAACTTGTGATATTTTATTTTATCTTTTATTGGTTGTTGTTCTCTAAGTATAACAAAACTTGATGCAAACAGCAGGTTAGGTTAAAGCTGGATGAAACGTGCAATGTATCTGGTTGATTAAGAATTACGATGTAGATTTAAAATAACTTTAAGGTAACTTTTTCTTCAGGTTGCCCTGTACAACTCTTGGTCTTGTCCCTGTGCAACTTGCTTCGTGGTTCATCTCTTTATGTTAAATGTATGCCCTCCACACTACTTTATTGTTGTTTCAAAGTCAACTCCTTCCTATTTTGTAGTTCACTGCCATTCACATGTAAATGTAACATGGTGAATATACTTTTTCCAGGACAAACATTGTTAATTGCTAACTATAGCCATAATTTTAGGTCACTGGGTATGATAGAGTCACTTGGCAATTTCATCCATCACTGTATATTGCACTTTGCTCTTCTCAACAAAGACATGGTTTTAGATAACCTCTTATTAATAATATCATGTTGATGAAAACAGAGAGAGAGGGGGGATTGCTATGTCCTTGATGTAGAAGAATCTGAAATGATTGTCTTTGAATGAGGTCTACTACAACACACTATCAGTATTTCAACTGCTTAACCACAGTGAGTGTCATCAACATACAGTTGACTAAATGATGTCATTTGCACTTTAAATCAACCATACTACATGGCTTCTAACTACTCTAAATTCCATTTCATTGGGCTGGCTTATCTATTGCTGAGTTTCCTCCAAGGTTATGGACACAACATAGGCTCGATTACCAGCCACTGTTCAGGAATATGAGCCTACCCTCCTACCCTTGAACCCTCAGGAAGGAACAGATACCATACACAAAAGAGCGATGGAAATCAAGCCTAGATGCAACAGTATTCTTACTAGAAATACTGAGTATACAATGGAACATGCTGCATATCACAACCCATTCCTTTTAATTCCTTAATTCAAAAAGGATCTCATTCCTCTCTTTCCTGGCAGCATTCATTTTAGTTAGATGCTCATGGAAGTTCCTTTTCACTTCAAAGTTGACTTCCATGGAGCAAACATGTACTGTACATGTACAGCACTGTCAGAGGCTAAAAACATTCCTCTACAAACCAATTACTGACCTAAAAAAAAACAGCAAACCTGACTGCCTCAACATTACTAAGAGTTTCAGCAACTGCCTGCCCTTCCTCCAAACTTTTATCTCTCTATCTGTTGGCCACTGGCTCAAACTTCAACACCACCAGACAAATATTGACATTTGTAAACAGAAATTGCTCTGTTTCACTTACACAAGATGCAGACAAAGTTTCAAACTTGTCAAGGATTGACTTGTCTCCCAACAGAATTTGGCTTAAAAATTCCTTCAGCTTCTTCAAAGTTTAAAAACTTGCTTCCATATTATCACCCCATTTTAATAGGACATGCTTGTTTCACTTGATTTTGAAATGGATAGTCAATGAAACACAAACTGACGATGCTCAACTCCTCTCTGATCTGGTATGAATCTGGTGTTCTGCTTGCTTGGCTCCTGGCTCTTGACTTTCAAAGTAGTGGATGGTGAACCAAACTTGCTGATATGCACCCAGGTGTCCAATAAACCCATGAACATACTCATGACTATATATGCTTCTGGATATCTTAGTATCCATTTTTTTTCTCAAAACTAGATTCTCTAAAAGGTAAAAACTCCTTTTTTAAGTTCAAAATTCTTATTCTTTAATTAGAACATTCATTTTTATATAGTTTACATCAACTGCTGCAGCTGGTGTCCAAAGATTAGGTAAACCTTAAATACCCTGTTTGCATTACACAAAGTTTTCAATTGTGTTATTTAGCCTTAAGGTGGTTGCAATTTTGGGTTCTGCCTCACAATGCAGAGTAGGTTCACTATAACATGTGGCAATTCATGGGCAGAGGTACATACAGACTAATGTTTTGTAGTAGTTTCCTCCACACCCACCATTACTAACAAAATACCCCCATAGAATAGAATTTTCAAAGTGTCAAGTATCTGTAAATTCACTTAAGATTAAGAAAGCTGAATTAACTTACTATTAAGAATGCTGGACATACTATTAATAATAAATTATTATAAAATCAATTATAATTTATGAAGCAACCCCATGGAGAAAAAAGATTTCCCCTCCTTTGAGCCAACAATTGCTTTAAACTACACCTCTGCCTTTCTGGAAAAGGCCTCATTCCTGTCTAGTCATCATATATGCACTTAGAATTGCTTAACAGTTATCATAATTTTGATAAACACTGTACCTTGTCTACTCTGTCCTTCTGGACTCCATACTTTCCACCAAACCCTTTGGAATGATCTAATGAGAAAAAATAACAAAAAAAAAAAACCAAACAAAACATGACATCTCACAGGCATCACCACCAATTGAGGCTTAAAATATGGCTTCATCTACTGTTGGTGAGAAATTTATTTTTACAAAATTAATGCACAAAAAGTTCTTCAAAAACAAGAAAACTAGAAACAATATTTTTTTCTTATTTATAGTGTACAGTACAAGGTAGAATATTTTCAAGTTTGGTTGAAAATAATTATACTATGTAGAATGAGGTACCTTTCTGTGAAGCATGTGCTTCTGTTTTCCCTTCATAATCAAAACCAACAGCTGCCTGAAGAAGGAAACAGTTCTCATGGTTTATTGTCAGTTATAGTGAACAATGGTTCCCATTTTCGACTGTTGGTAACCTGTCGGTCAACTGTTGGCTGACAGGTTACCAATGCAATATCAACACATTACCGACAGTCAGCCGACAGTGTTAAGTAGACCAAAAATTAACTGAAAACAGAGTTCAAACTTTTCCAGTCAAAAACAGTAAATAGAAACACATGTCAATCGCATAGTTTGTACCTATCTGCTTGATTCTATTTAAATGGTAAAATAACCTTGTTTAACCCATCTCCCAACTGTAAGTACCAAAACACCTATTTCTTATATCCTGGTATGTACACAAAATGGCTCCTTTTCTACATTTTGCAAGTGAATGAACTAACAGGTCAAATAGTTCTAACCAAATAAAGACTTTCTTAAAAGGGTTTCAGAGGCAGTGCATTTAGGGATTGGGAACTAGAAAAACTTTTCAATATGGTGGATAAATGAAATTGAACCAGTTTGGGAAAGTTTCACTAACCAATGCAAAAAAGTGGGCAAAAGCCGCAGTAGCTAATTTGAGAGTACAAAGCAAGGTATCTTTTTGAAACGACTTTTCCCCTTTTCCATGTAGTTTTAGAAGCAGTCGATAGGTAAATGTTTAGGATCATTTCAGTTTACAACCCACCACCAGGTTACCGAAAGGTTGCCAACAGGTCGCAGACTGTCGGCCATGTATGTGTACATTCATTTGCAGTTTTGCTCACCTTATCAACTCTGTCTTTTTGGACTCCATACTTGCCACCAAATCCTTTGGAGTGATCTACATGAAGGAAAAAATGAAAATTTACAATACATTTTGTTCATAACCATGAAACAAAGGAAACTTTAAAATTATAAATTTATACTGTCTCATTCATTATTAAACCCTTGCAAAACATAGACAACGTCTTTCTCCTAATGACATAAAACATTTTTTTTAACAAAAATGATGTGACAAACCTTTTGTGGAAACATGTGCTGCAGTTTTGCCTTCATAGTCATAGCCAACTGCTGCCTGCCATGTGAGCAGGGTGAAGAAATAAACTCTCATAAGAATATATGAACTTACATTAAATTGCTGTTAATTTTAAAACTTAATAAGGAAATTAAATGCACGCACATGAGAAACCAGTACTAATCAGAAAGTAGAAGTTGAAATATTAAGAAGAGTACACCATTCATTTTAAATAAAAGAGACTCAGAGGTTGCATCTCAATTACTGCTACATTTTGAAACAATTTTTGGAAGTTAATGTTTTCTTGTGTATCCTTATATTCAGCATGATCAGTTCCCAACATGTATTTCAAGTAAAGAAAGATGTTTTTTGTCATTTCACAAGCATGGGACAAAGAAAAAATTCTGAGTCTCCATGAGGAATCCCCATGAGAAACCTCAGACCTTCAGATTCCACACTCCGATGCTCTACCACTAGGCCACAGACTCCGCAGTGAGCGAGGTCTATTAACAAGTTCATATGACATGCATCCTGCATACGGTTAGGATCAGCAATGTTGATAGCGTAATGTTTATAGATGAAAATAGGAGAGATGGTAAGTTTTGAGCTTGGTAAAGAAATAAAGAAAGATGTTTAAGTGTTTGTGGTTAGAAATAAATAAATAAAAATAAAGAAAAATGTTGAAGTGTTTGTGGTTTTGTGAGTTTTAAAGTGTAGAACAGAACACAGGGAAGGTTACCACCAGAATTGCTGAGTGTATAATTATACAGTACACAACAACTGTCCATGTATTCACAGACAAATTGACTGGTCTTCTATTGTTTTTACTACATAACTTAGAATCTATCCAGGAAGTGAAATCTATATTATATGCAGATCTACTGAGTTTATTTGTATTGTTCAGTAACTTTCTTTCTACTGTTCCATTCCTTCAAGGAGTATTCAGTAACTTCATGCACAGTTACCAGATGAAAATAACACTGTCAAGTACCTGGTCAACTCTGTCCTTTTGAACACCATATTTACCACCAAATCCTTTAGAGTAATCTAAATAAGCAGTGATACAGTCAAAGATGAGAATTATACTGGTACATGAATCCTAATGTGATGTAAGCTTTGTGAACACCCCTCAATACATCATTTATTAGAAACAGACAATGAAGCATAGGATTGCAGGCTGGACTGACAAATCAATCTGTTGAAAGTTAAAATCCCTATTCATCACCTACCTATTTATGGAATTTTATTGGCTGCTTTATGTCATATACAAAATATTCATTTTTCAGTCAATCTTTCACTGCGGACATTATTGGCTGACATACTAACACCCTGAAGGGTTTATTTTACTAAAGAATACACACCCTGTTGTGAAGCATGCTTCTCAGTTTTGCCTTCATATTCAAATCCAACAGCAGCCTAAAATGGGAGTACAAAATGATGTAGAACCAATAATAAATTAAAATATATATTAAGTAACTATAATATATTGATTAATAAAATAAATCACTAAAATTAAATTTAAAAATACATTTATTTGCTAATAAAAGACAATTAAAGTCAGTCAGTCAGTGAAACATAGTTATCTGTAATTAATACTGGGATGAATGTCAGTGCACACCTGCCTTACAGCCATAGACAGTATTGAAGTTCTGGAAAAGCTTAGTACAGCACTTGTGTGTACACTTTTTTAAAAAAGGCACATGATAATGCTAGATAGTATTACATTGTTGTAAATACAAATCTGAAAGAATGAACTTAAAGCATCAACCTGGTCAACTCTGTCCTTCTGAACACCATATTTGCCACCAAATCCAGTAGAATAGTCTATCAAGATAAACAATAGAAGCCACTAAGACAATTTCATGGTTCTTTTGTAGATACATGTACCATTACAAATCCTAGAAGTGATCCCTTGAAAGGAAGGACTCCCAAAGGAGTTTGCTCAAGAGTGATTCAGCCCTTTTAGAAAAACTTTGTTTGTGAGTGTAACATTGATTACTATAGCTGCAAGAACACTTCTTGCTTTTTTAACAACTGTGTCTGTTGTCATGAGTATGTTTAACAAATTGGTTTCTTTAAAAGAATTACGGTCAAGTTGCCGACGGTTCAACTCGCCAACGCCAACTCGCCGACGTATAAAATCGAGTAGAGACGTCGGCGAGTTGGTCTTCAATCCAGTACAACTTATTAAAAGTTAAAAGTTAAACATACAGAAAAGTAAAAGATAATTAGTAAAAAAAAACAGTTTTGTTTTCTTCCAACAAAGTTTATAAGGATCTCATGGCGAATAAAGCAAGGTAAACGTCGCCAATGAATGTATAAGCTTCAGAAGCAGACGAGTTATTGTGTGACAACAACACTGTGGAGACTCTTCATGTCAATCAGTCAGATTTTTTTAAAAAAACTTGGCTCTCTAGACATGATCTTTAGTAAAAAAACAATTCTTTTTATTTCCAACAAAGTTTATAAGGATCTCAAGGCGAATAAAGCAAGGGGAACATCGCCAATAACCAAGAAAGCTTTAGACGCGAATGAGTTGTTGTGTGAAATATGAGAATGGTGAAAAGACAGCAGCCCAATTATTGAAATCAATGTCGAGATTAAACGGACCTTCAAGAGCAGAATAATCACATGATATGCATAGCTTTCACATGTTCACTTGATCTTTATAATACATTAAATCTTATTGTAAATCAAACGTTCTCGATTATGAATAAATCATTCTTTAAAGTTAAAAAAACATATCATTCCGCCTGGTAGTTGGGGTTGTCACACAATAACTTGTTCGCGTCTAAAGCTTTTTCGATCATTGCCGATGTTTACCTTACTTTCTTCGCCTTGAGATCCTTATAAACTTTTTTGGAAATAAAAAGAATTGTGTTTTCTACGAAAGATCTTGTCTAGAAAGCCAAGTTTTCTTAAAATAATCTGATCGACTGACATGATGAGTCTTTACAGTATTGTCACACAACTCGTTAGTGCCTAAAGCTTTTATATTCATTGGTGATGTTTACCTTGCTTTATTCCCCATGAAATCCTTAAAACTTTGTTGGAAGCAAACAAAATTGCTTTTTCCCTAAATATCTTTCACTTTTCTATATGTCTGTCTTCTAATAAGTTGTACTGGATTGAAGACCAACTTGCCAACGTCTCTACTCGATTTTACACGTCAGTGAGTTGGCGTTGGCGAGTTGAACCGTCGGCGACTTGACTGGATACCCTTTAAAAAGCCCATTCACTTTACAGTGCTGTATGTGATTAATTATGAATGCAAGTCATGTTAAAAATTAACAGTTATCTGAAGGTGACAAACATGTGAATTTTGCAGTAAATTAATTTACTAAGTTTAATTTACTGCTGTATGAAAATAAAAACCCTCTATACTTTCAAACCTTTTAATAGAACCAAAAGATCAAATTGATACCCACTACTGGTAGGTATCAACCAGCAACCTGAAGGTGTTGCCTGAATTTCACACAGTTATGGTTATTACAATGGATCTTACTTCATTCTAACTGAGGGTTGGATGTGAATGGAGACTCAAAAGTCTGGATTTTAACTCCCCATTGACCAAGGAGGATATCACTTTAAACACACTTACCAGTTTGTGATACATGCTTTTCCACCTTCCCCTCATAGTCAAATC